GAAAGATTAATAGAAACTAACAGATAGTGGAACAAACCAAGTGCTAAAAACAGGGAGGAACCCATTTCCACTCTTAGCTTTGCTGAAACCTGGGGAAGCCTGCAAGTTAAGGGTGTATGGAGTAAGGCAGCCAGTGCAAATAGGGCCAAATTCCTGCCTAGCAAGGAGGAAGACAGGTCCTTAGATATCTTGTCTTTTGGCCTCTTGCTATGGCCTCTCAAACCCACCTGAAGCCAGAGGTCAGGAGAACCTGGTTAATGCAATTTATAGAGATTAGTTTCCTAGGGTATAGAATGGAATGATGGGTGGAGAGAAGATCTGGAGAGGCAGATAGAAGGTAGCTTAGCTACTTACAGAAAATTAAAGAATACCGTATAGTTTGGGCTCATGGACACGGACTTCATGGAACTTGAATCTCCTTAATTCCCCATTTATAACAAGAGCCGCCACCTTTCTCGTAGATATACAGAAGAGAAAAATGGAAGTCATCTTTGACTCTTCCTTCTTCATTCCTAGTGTTTAACTTATGACCAATTTCATATTTCTTAAAAATATGTCTCTAATAATGCATCTCTAAGGCAAATTTGTGCTATTTTTACCGCCAACACGTTTGTGTAGGTCTTGACTTCGCCATCTTTTGTTAATCAATTGCTTAATGGTAACAGACTTCTTTCTAAGATGCTGGCATTCTTAAATCTCCATCTGCTTTGCTGAAGCACTTACTCTGGTTCTCAGTTGTTATGGATATGAAATGCAACATCCTTTGCCTGGGGTTAGACTTCCCACAGCTTGTCCTCAACCTCTCCAACAATCTTTACTTCCTAATTATTCCTCCACATAAACCCTCTCCTTACTCTAATTTGTTGTATAGTTATATATTATATTAGTGGAGAGTTTATTTTTTATTTTATTTTATTTTATTTATTTATTTATTTATTTATTTATTTATTTATTCATTTATTTGTTTATTTTTAGCTGAGCCATCCAGCCACCTGTTGGCAGCTCAGTGGCAGCTCAGCTCGGGCGGGACTCAAACCACTGCTGCTCAGAGCTCACACTCTTGAGCGAGCTCTTAAGAGAGTTTATTTTTTTAGCACACATTACATCACTGAAATAATTTACACACTTAACATCATCAGCAATAATACCTAACATAGGACAGCGTCTCAATAAAGTACTTTTGAATCAGTTTGGGCACTTGAATTATACTTGTTTATTAATTGTTTATTTGTTTGATTAGGTAATTTAGAGCAACTGTGGAATAATTAACCAAACCCACACAAACAATGCATATTTTTGACTACTAATTTTTCTCTTAAGTATTTGTCCTAAAGAATAAGTTAAAGAGGAGCTCAAAGATTTAGCTTCACGGATAATCATGAAAATGTTTTTTCTAATAATACTTACAAAAAAAAACTTAAACACTTTACAACAATAGAGGGTATAAAAGTATGTATATTCAATCAAATACTATATACTATTCAGCTTTTAAAAATGATGTAGATTGTTAAATTGGCATAATAACAAAACTAATAAAATTTTTTAAGTTTCTATTTTTGTTTTGAAGCAGATATATTTTAATTACTTTTTTTTGTAAAAATCACTATGTGTGTTAACACACACATATACATAAGTTTATGCAAATACAGAAAGATGTATATGGTGTTAATATTGGTTATCTATGGTGGTGGGTAAATTATGGATTTTTTTTGTTTATCTGAATTTTCTGACAATGTAACCATTGCAAAATACTTTGAAAATAACTAGCACAATTAAAACCCTTCTCTAATAGACTTTAACTACGTGGTTTCTATATAAGGTGATCAAGCTATGTGTTTTAATTAAATGACTTTATATTACTTAGTGAGTGACAATGAATTAGCCACAATACATGTTTGTCAATTACAGTACATCCTACCCTAAACCTTGTCTACTGCTACTTAAACTATTAATTTTACATCACAATTTGTTTAGAAAATGGTCAAAGTATAAAATCTGTATAATGTCAAATTTGAAAATTAAAATAAAAATATCAACCAGAAATAGCTATTTTATATGTACAAAAAAAAAAAAAAGAATAGCATTACTCTGTCTTTTATTCACCAAGTAAGGTAGTTTGGGATTTCATGGAGGAGAATGGCTTTATTCAGGAGAATTGTTTATGCAGGAGAGTGGCTTGAATTCACTTTATAGGGCACATGTAGAGTTTAAGATTTTAAGTAGAGCTTGAAGGTATAGAATTACACAGGAGCTATACATACACACATATACACATATATGCATGCATAAATGAATATTGTATCTATCTAGAAGATTAGATGCTATGTTCTAAAACTAAGCTAAATCACAAGTTTAATTACAAAATCATTTCAGTATGCAAAATAAACTCATAATTGAAACAACTTATTATATAATTTTATAGAAATCATACAGATTAAAACTATAAAGAGGGTGCCAAAACATGTATTCATATTTTAAGAAAGGAAAACTGTATTAAAATTGTAATACTCAATATATATCAATAACAAAAGATGAATACAAGTCATGTTTAACTTCTGCAATTACAAGAGGTGCTCAAAGTGGTTACCATCAGCATCCAGACACTTCTGATTACGGCAAACTACTGCTTGAGCAATGCTGACCAAAGTGTCCACTTGTATTCATTTTTTTGGCATGCCTGGTATATAAGAGAAAGGTTTTAATTGTGATGAATATTTTCAAAATTTTTAGTAATTTTTTTTTAATTATTGAAAAATACCAGCAAACAAAATGAGATCCATAGTCCAGAGGACACTAGATATAAAGCAGGAAAATTTACTTCCTGGAGGAGGAAAGCGAGGGTGGTACCTCTAACATTTCACCTTGTGAGCATGGAGGGAGAAGGGAAGGATACATCTAACCTCCAATTCCTTGGGTTTTAGTTAGGGAGTGCTATGCTTTATTACTCTAAGCCCAGAAGGAGCAATCAAGTTGATTACTATAATTTTCTGGGCCAAATCAGGTAGAATGAAAGTTGAATAAAATATTACTTGAGTTAAATATTGCTTCAAGCTAGGAAAGTGGACAATGAAATATAGTGGACAAGAGCTTAAACTTTTAAATCAGCATGCTTAATTTTAGATATTGGCTTTGTTATACCAACAGTACTCATTCACTTAACCGTACAATTTTTATTTATTTAATTTTAATTTTTATTTATTTTTTAGCATTAACTTTATGCCAGGCAAAATGCTAGCTAAGCGTTGCTGGTAAATTAGGGAGACAAATATATATTATCTTTTCTCCTTTACAGTTTAATGATGGAGATAGACATTAATTAAATAAACTTGCAAATAACATAATTACATATAGTGGTAAATTAGTCCAGGAAAAATTCAGGAAGCTTTGCAAGTATGTTTTGGATGTAGTCAGTTTGAAAACTGGGTATAAAATAACCTGGGAAAGAAAGTAGATCTCACGTAGATGACCATATGATGATATTTATAGAAAGGCAGTTGGCTGGATCATAGAAGGACATAAAAAGCATTACAACTATAGAATGGAAAAATAAGCTTAGAGATATGGGTGGAACCAGACCACCCAAAGCTTTACCTGGGGACAAATGAAAGCCATTGAAGATTTTTAAGCAGGAAAGTTCCAAGATCAAATTTCTGTTTCTAAAGATCACTCTGACTGCCTTAAGGGGAAAAAAATGGATTGAAAGATGTACGAGTATTATGGGGAATCCAGTGAATTGGCAATTGAAACACTCCAGGCAAGAGACAATAGAACTAGGAAGTGGTGACAGCAGAGATATAGTACAGATAATGACCCCTACATTACTGGCTTTTGGAATTGATTGGAAGAGGGTGCCAGTCACTGAGTTAGAAATACATAAACAGTACCAGAATTAATTGCATTTTAATTTGACTGAGTTTAGTTTAAGATGCTTTTGAGATATCCAAATGGAAATGCCAAATAAGTTATTGGCTATAAAGGTCTGAATTTCAAAGGGCCCTGGGTTAGAAATATTATTCTGGTATTCACTGGCTTATAGTTGGTTATTGAAGTCATAGGCATTGATGAGATAGTTTGGAGAAAGAGAATGTAGAGTCAGAAGAGAAGGAATCATTGGATAAATCTTTGAAACACTAATATTTAAAGGCCAGTTAGAGCCAGCAAAATAAACTTGGCCATCAGAAAAGTAAGAGAAAAACCTGGGGAAGACCAAGAAGCCAAGGGAAGAAGGTGCTTCAAGAAAGAGTAGATAATAATGTTGAATGCTCCTGGGAAGTCAAGTTCATTGAGGATTGAAAATTGTCAAGCATGAAGCTTGTGAGAGTCATTTAATTGGAATTATGTGTGCACAAACCAGACTACAGTGGATATATATATATATATATATATATATATATATATATATAAAGACACAGATTTAGTGTAGACAACCGTTTGCTAGGTAAGAGGGGGGATGGATGATAGCTGGAGGGGGAGCTGGAGTCAAAGTAAATTTTTCAATAGGATAAACTTTTAAATATGTCTCAGCACCATGAGAATGATCCACTAAAGAGACAGAAATCCAACAGGGAAGAGAAGGGATAATTAAGAGAAAGGTATGACAATGTTAACTAAGTTATTTAATGTCTTTGCCTTGGTTTTCACAGTATAAAATGGAGAATATGCATACTTCATAAGGTTATTCTGACAAATAATGTGATGTTGACAGGATGCTCAGTAAATCTTTTGGTACACAGATTGCATTTAATAAATTGGTGCTTAAAATGAATTCATCACTTAACACAGTATCTTATTAGATGGTCAACAAATATTTGTTAAATGTTGAATGACTTACATGAGTTTGATTAGTTGGGAATATAAATGAGTCTGACACATATTGCTATACACTGGGTTACAATTGCACCTGGGATATTCACTGACGATGATGATGATGATGATGATGATGATGACATTCGATATTTGCCATCTGATGATATTGATGATTTGAGAATTTGTGTTCACAGGGTACCATTTTCCTGCCCGGAAATAAAGTCCTCGAACATCCCTGCAATGAAGAGAGCCCAGGGAAATTCCTTTTTGAAGTAGTTCCAGGTAAGATATTTTTCTGGTTTGATTGAATTATTGCTGTTGCATGTTGGGAAAGGTGAAAAAAGGTCAGATAGCCTTTATTCTTCTTGAGTCATGGCTGAAAACATTAATTTGAGGAGGCAAGTATCAAATTTGGTTACTATTTACACAGATAATGATTCCATGTTTATACGCTGGTACAAATGAAGATGCAAACACATACGCATGACCACGTGATTATTGGATATCCATTTGTCCAAAAGATTCCAGAGCTGACCAGAAGTCATGACATAGCATTTCTAAGAGACTATTGGAGACAAAGTTGCTCTCACAGAGCTTTTGTGCTATGAAATTTGGCAAGGTATTACAGGTAGAATACATTGTCCTGCTGATTTACAGTCATAATTTCCTCTCAAAACAACATGGTAAAGAAGCCTTTGATATAAAAGAGAAAAAAAAACACACCAAAAAACCCCTCCTTCAATGACTGACAAAATGTTGCAGTTCTGTACCCCAGCTTTTCTCCCCACCAACCACTTCCACATGTTTGGCTTGTAGCATTGAGGACCCCTCTGCCAAGCCATCAGACCCTGCCGTTACATTTCTTCAACATCTGTTCACTTCTTTTCTGGTCATCTTCATCTGTACCTCTCAGGGTACCTGATCTCCTCTTGCATCTTTGACTCACTCAGCAACAATTTCTTCAAGGCCATGATCTACTTCTTTGATCAGTTCTTTAGCCTTTCCTAAACCTTGAGGTAAGAAAAGGGGAGTTAGGAATGTGTTTTTTTATAGCATTGGCTCTGACTGTCCCAGCTGAAGGGATACTGACATTGATTTAATCACAGTCTAGGGTGAGTTCAAAAATTATTTGGGTGACTAATATGCAATGCATATCAACAATGTTGGCATAAAGGCAGTCAATAAAAGATTTTTTCCCATATTTATAAATGCTGGGAATGTAAAATGTGAAAGCATATTTTTTCCCTTCAATGAAAACAGCTGTAGCACTGAGTTCATCTGGCTCACAGTGGAATCCATGACTAAATGTTAATTAATGCAGCTGAAGTGCAGAAAGGTTAGTCAGATGCATTGTGTTATTTGTTTTCCCCCAGGGAAAACATATTGTAAGAAACCTGAATCTTGTTTGCCCTATTAAAATCTTTTTATACTTACTTCTTAGCAGAATACCCTGTATAGAATCAAATTCCAGATGTTGCAAAGTCTTTGAAGTATCAGTACAGGAAATTTCTTTTCCTATTTATTCTCAAACATTAGTTCTTGTTGACTCTTTATCTCCAATAACAGTAAAGGTCTACTTTCCCATTTGGTCTACTGTGTAGAGATTTCATCTTTCAGTGAAGATGAACTTATATAATATACATGGATATGTCAAGATGTCTAGAAACAGCTGTGTCTTCAAACTCAGGAAGTCACGAAACCTCCCAAGATTGCTGTTCTAGGGCATATGTTTCACATACAGTGCATGTGAAATAATGGCTTTTGATGACCAAAGCTAAGAAGCTTAAGACTGATGTGGGATCTGAAGGTGGTTCTTTCAAAAAAAATGAGCCCACATCTCATTTGAAAAGATGCTTCCTGAATCATTAATACAATATTTAGTAGCTTCTAAATTAGGTTTCATAATTCTGAATCATCTTCTGAAGTAACAAGAGAATTGTGTCAAATGGTTCTATGAAGAAGGATTTGGAAAATCACTATGATTTTCTGTGAAAATCCAGTGTCTGGGACATTAATCTTGGTCATTGGAGGTTTATTGGTCTGCCCCTGGCATCAGGACGGCATTTCCAGGCCAGTGCTTCTGTATTTGTATGAAAATGTGCAGATCTGTATCACATGATTTTAATCAATTTTTGTAAAATCAGGATTACTTAGGAATAACGTGACACTTGATTTGTCTTTGCAAATGGGAATAACAAGATAATATTTTCTAATTTTCCCCATTGTGAAATAGTTTGACTTGGGGGATTTAAAAAGTTGCAAGAGTGCTTTCATTTCTCGGAAAGTGGAGGAGACAGGAAAGATTGTGGAAATGTGATTAGTGCCTTGCACAGAACCCTCTTCAGGCCTACCGGGCAGCACATCCTCGTAACACATGTTTACTCTACATCGCTTTCTCTGTGGAATTCTCTCAGTCGCCACTTCGGAAAACCCATGCTGCAAATGATACTTACGAGTCTAACACTATTCTGTCTTTCTAGTCAAGTACCTGAAGCCTAGCTCTGCAAGGTATAGCCGTGAATAGGATTAAATCCTTTAATTCTACCTGCCTATAATGGTAACAAAACTGACAAAAGCCTCCAGGAAGCTCTTTGCACTATATACATACTCACATATTTGCGTATGAATGTTTTGTGTGAAGATTTTATACACACACACACACACACACACACACACACATTGAGAGAGAGATTATGCACGTAAATGCTATATATCTTTATAATTTATCCAAATGCAATGTAGGTAGGAGCCTTTGTTTTGTTTTTGCTTTAGTCTGAAATGCCCTATGAAATTGTTAATCATGTGCAAATAAGAAAAACAAGATTTTTCAATAGAACTGGGGGCCTCAGGCCTTACTACAACTATGAGGTGGGCTGTATTACGTATTACTTTGTTTCTGTATTATATTTCTATACAGGTTTTAGGCTTTTGTAAAAACCTATTTAAAAAAGAAATCTACCATCATTTAGGATGAATTTCTCATAAACTTGCTATCCCACACCATGAATTATCTCTCTGAATAATGCTATGATTTAAAGCCTTTCATTCCAGTTTTTTTCCTGTTTCTCTACTTGTTATTCAAAAAGGAGATGTTAGCCAAATTGGCAAATTTGAAGATGTTGCTGTTTGACACGCCAAATTGTAGACGGGAGTGAATTTTATGGCCAAGTGCTAGGCTTTTGGGAAATGTGGTTGTGAAGGGAATGTTGGCAGACCTTTAGTACATAGTGAGTGCTTGAAGAAAGAAAATGGTCGCTGCTTCTCAAAATATGTTCTGTGGAAGTTTTTCTTGTGATGTTCACAAAAAATTAACAGAGTAATTAATGCCATGATGATGCCTTAACTTAGAGGAGTGGTCTATCAGAGGGAGGAAATGAAATACAGTTTCAAAGAGCCGGCCGAGTGGCTCAGTTGGTTAAGAGCTCGCTCAAGAGTGTGAGCTCTGAGCAACAGGGTCGCCGGTTTGATTCCCGGCCCAAGCTGAGCAGCCGCTGAGCTGCTAACAGGTGGCAGGATGGCTCAGCTTAAAAAAAAAAAAAAGAAATACGGTTTCAGAGGCAGAGAGAGACAGGCAGAGACAGACCAGGGAGTGTGTGCTCCACAGAGTCAGTAACCACACCTTTCTTCCTCGTTACTACATCTCTAATACCTAGTACAGTATAATGCAATGTGCTAGATAAATATTTACTGCAGTGTATGTATTTACCAGGTTAATGGAGGAATCTCAATCATATGTAATGGTTTTGTTTGTTTGTTTGCTTATGGTCAGCTCCCAGGTTGGCTGTGTTGAACTCTTACTTCCTGCTGTATAGGAGCTTTTCATCCCCTCATGCACCAAGGCCTCTTGGTGGTTCTAGTGGCTGAGGTGGAGGGAAATATCTCACATTTTCTTTCCTACTTCTCTGTCTTCCTCTCTGAAAATGATACCAAGAGAAAAATGGAGGAAGGAATCTTCCTACACAGAAATTAACCCTGACTGTTTATAACATTCCTCTCCAAATGCTCTCTCTTGGCGCACGTTGGTGGATTTTTCAACATCCTTAGAATTGGAAGTCCATGTCACATGGCAGGATTCTTTGCCTTGGGCATGATCTTCTTAGATGGGACACCAACAAAAGCACTCAAAAGCCAGTAGCTTTCTTTGTGCTAATTCAGCCACCAGGAAACTCATGTGCCGAGGAAGAGCAGAGCAGGCATCTCACTGTTGCCGTCTCCCCCGAGCCTGCCACCTTGCCCCTTTCCCCATGAAGCATGAGCTTCAGACCCAGAAGGTTCAGTGGCTTGCCAAGCTTCATAATTTATGTGCAATTTTTTCATGCCTTCCTGATTTATTCTGATGGTTGAGAGAAATTCTCTTCCTTCCCCTCCCAAAATAGTGTTTATCTTGAAAACTCTTTTGTCCAAATGGCACTTCCTCTTTTCTAGCCTCCCTCTTGTTCTAGTCGGGGGCAGGGAAATGGAGTTTTGGGTTCCTTCTCTGAAATGTGTTCTCTCTGCAAGCTAGGCACAAGATTTAGAATGTGAGTTTTTAGCACTTTTTTTTCTTCAGATTTAGATTTTAGCCATTCCAGGATAAGAGAATGACGGCTTTTTATCTACATTTATCTATAATCTTAGCTTGGATTCCGGGGAAACACACTCTGATGGAGAGTTATGTTATAACGCTTATTGGGTGGTTCTGGGGGGTGGTCTCTGGAGACACTTCATCTTTGCGGAAGCAAGGGAAGCAAGATGGGGCAGAAGGAGAAGCTATCCCATAACACCATTGCAACTGAGCTCTGGAGCTAGGATGCCCCTCAGAGTTGCTCTAAACTGAGACACCAGACCTCTGTTTCCTGGCATCAGCTAGTCTAGTCATTGATGGGGGGCAGGGAAGATAGATCAACTTGGGCAAAGCAGTTCCCTGTTGCAATGGAGAACAATTCCCATGAGGGCCTCTGTGTGACATCAGCTGCCAATATACCAGCCTCTGGGATCTAGACAAAGCATTAAAATGTCTATAGTTTTATCTGTATCTAGCTTTCTGCATCCCAGGCATTGTTCCAGGTTCTTACATATATCACTTCATTTAACCCTTACTACAACTCTGTAAGGCAGCCCATATTGTTATCTCCATTCCCAGATAAAGAAACTGAGACACAGAGCAGTAATTTCACCAAAAGCAAACAGCTAACACTAGGTAATGAATGAATAGATGAGGGAGAAAGAGAGAAAAAGAGAAAGAGAGAGAGAGAGGAGAGAGAGAATATCACTGATTTACCTTTTAGAGGTAAAGTTTCAGG